TGAGCTCAGGGAAGGTAGGGACAATACTGTATTAATCTTTTGATACAGTAGGCACTCATTAATGTTTGTTGAATCAACATCTGAATGAATAGCAGAGTCAAGAAATATAAGCGTTTTATAAATTACAAAGCTATGTAAAGTGTAAGTTTTTATTATTCTCTTTCTTATTCATATAAGGCTCACCTACTTTGACCACGCCAATCCACAATCATATCTCTCTTTGCACATAGGAAAATGTGTATTTGATGTTTATTGAGTGATTGTTTATTGATTAACTAAAGTTATTCATCCTCTATGGAGATTTAATCTACAAACCATCAGGCTATACTAATGATCCCAGTGGCTTTCCTCCACGGTAGTAAAAGATTTGGAGGAGGAAAGCACAAAGATCCTCCAATCTGTGATCACTTTAGCCCTATCATTACAATCAGTAGCTTTCTTACTTGGTATTTTCAGAGATGTGCTGCTCACAGGGATACGCTTTTTGGGAATACATTTCCAAGAATATGTATTCTCATTGGTATTAAAAACTATGGGGGAACTGATACTTTGTTGCTGACAGCTCTCAGGTGTTTCTTTTGTAGACTCGTATTCTCCTTAAGGGGAGAGTGTCAAACCCATCGATTCAGTCTATTCTGTTGTCAGACAGTTGGAATCTAAACACATGACACTGTCAAACCAAAAAGGACCTTGGATTGTGGCATTCAGAACTAATGACAGTGTGTCTGTCCCCTTCCATTGTACTGTGCCAAAAAGCTTTATCCAGTGTAATCAAATTAAAAGGATGCATAAGACCAGGCCTTAAGGGAAATGAAAGTTACCAAAAGGCAGTAGAGATCTTGAGGAATGCATGAGTGTCGGTGACGGTGTATAATGGAGGATACTTTTAACCCTGGTTTGGGTGATAGAAATGTATTACGACGTACATACATACTTTTGAACTTTTTTAAAGCACTAACTAGAGAGCCTACCTTTTTCCAGGAATACCTCTATAACTCTCTGTCTAATTACCAGCAGCTTGGAATCTTCTGAAGTTCTGAGGTCATTGCTCACAGCTAACTCTGAGGCCTGCTTCTATCATCTTGGCCATTGGATGTCTGGCTCTTGCAAAATAATTGTTCTCTAGGAGATTGCTTTTTATTTAAGGTCCTTTGTCTTAAGTAAGAATTCAAATTTGGATCAAACATGAATGGTAACCAATTTGGAATGAAAAGAAGATTTATTATCTTCTGATGCCTGAACATTTCCTAGGAGCTTTGGAATAAGTATGTAAGACACATCTGAGATGACTGAGTGTTGTTATTATTAGCTCAATTCCACTTAGCTTGTTAAATCCATGACAACACAAAGATAATCCTTTGTAAAAACGAGCACTGTTAATCTGAAATACATGAGAAGTCTTAACAAGTCATATACTTTAGACATCTTGAAATGTTATTCAAAACTGGATATTCTTTTCCCTTTTAGGGAAAAGGGATTGATGAGAACTAAAAGAATGCCCAAATATTTCCTGTTTTTTTCTTTAGCTTAAGGACCCTAAGTCTAGGTCTGAGCTCTTGTTTCTTTTCTATCAGTTACAATTTAAGTAGGAGCTCAAATGTCTGGGTTGTATTGATTCTGCAAGCACTCTAAACAAGATGACATTTTATTCATCAAAAGGAAAATTGAGTATGTGTTAAATGTCCAAGGGCCTGTTTAGTCTTCTTTCTGTCTCTTTTCCTCTATTTCTGTAACAATCTCTTCCTAACTTATCTCCAATATTTAAAATATTTTTTCTTCTTTTTTCTCTCATATGTACCCAACCCCCAATATAGAAGAAGGACTGTGGGGCACAAAGAAAGGAGAAGTCATGATGGATGGAGTGGGATGAGACAGAATTAAGCAGCAGGCTAGAAGAATTTATACAGTGACCTTTTCTACTAATCCCTAAAGAATTCTTAATTAAAGGCAAAAGTAATCGTCATCTGAGGGTGTTTTAGCACCTTGATTGTAACATGAATTAATGGACCTAAGATGTCTGAATTTATCTAATCAAATTAGATAAAGGAATGGCTTCCTTTATTGCCTTTTCTGTAGGGATGAGGATATGTACTTCTTGCTATGAGTCTAT